CTAGTAGTAACAGGTGCCACGCTAGTAGTAACAGGTGCCACGCTAGTTGTTTTGATGCTTGGAGGTGCTGCTTCAGCACTGCTTGCTGCAGCAGCTTGCCTGTACTTCTTTGCCGCGCCTTGGTGCAAGCTGCACTCCCCACAGGGTGTGACAATTTTCCGAACGACTCTCTGAGGACTTGCTACCGCAAGTTGTGGCGGGGCATTTCCTCAAAGCTTTGCACAGCCCCCAGATGCATTCTTTCCTTTTTGCAAAAGGATGAGCTTCAGAGCTGGGAGGCACTTTACAGCTGAATGCATCTTGCTTGGGGGAGCAGGTGTGGATGCAGATGTGGATTTGTTTATGGATTTGATGTGTTTTGTTTTGCACCTGGTTTTTCCAAGCAAAACTCAAACAATGCATCCGTTTCATTAGTTTATTTTTACGCTGCGCGTGGCAACGCCAGGCGTTGCAGGCGTTTTGGCCGAAATCAGGCCGCACCCGATGGTCTCGGAAAACTTCCCGTTTCGGCGCCCAGCCCGGCAGGAGCTTCTAGGAGCCCCTAGCTTCTTGTTCCTAGTAGCGATGCCCTTTGCTCCTAGTAGCTTCTAATGCGAAATAAATTCAAGTCCAATTTGATGCTAATTCAATTCTAAGATTCTAAGATATACGTCGTGTCACGTTCCTGTCAAAGGTCCAAGGTCCGCCAGCACATAGACTACCAACACAATTGAAACAATGTTGGCTCACGAGCATCCTCCTCACTTTGCCTTGCTCTCCCAAGGCAAAACCCTAGTAGCGTTCCTTGCTCCTAGTAGCGATATGTAGCGATGCCCTTTGTTACTAGTAGTGTCCTCTTGCTCCTACTAGTAGGGCCAGGAGCCCCAAATAGAGTCCTCGCTCCTAGTAGCGTCCAAACTCCAAGTTCGCGTTGCACAGCGCAATGAGACATGCTCGAGACTGCGGCGATTTATTCCTTGCAACGTCCATGTGGCGCGCGAAATCAGCAGGCTACGTGCATGTCTTCACATTTGCTACTCCGCGCCGTAAGGCCACGCCTGAATTGCCCGAGTGCAATGGCGCAAAATCCCACAGGTCGCGTTCGATGTGAAACTTGAAGGCTTTCCGCATCACCGAACGCGAACAGCAAACTTGCGCAAGAAGCTGGAGGCCATCGCTAGCAGGTTGGAGATCATTCCTATATCTATAGAAACTATTCAACAAAACCAAACAAAGAACTGCAAAGAGTCCGACGCAAAAAGCACAGGGCATCCAACACCTTGAAACATCCACGTTTACGTTCTCAAGTCATCCAAGATTTTGACAAAGCCATGCTTAAGCAAACTTAACCTTTTGGAGGCCATCGCTTGTTCTTTAATCAAACTTGTTTGCTTAGTAGCTTCTTGCTCCTAGTAGTAAGGCCAGGAGCCCCTAGTAGCTTCTTGTTACTACTAGTAAGGCACCTGTTACTACTAGCGTGGCACTTGTTCCTAGTAGCTTCTTGCTCGTGTTCTTTTTCGATCCAATTTAAGGTACTTGACACGGCTCAGTGGCCGAAGTGTCGTTTACATCTTCTTCGGCGCGTGCGACCACGGACCTGCATGGCGAGGATGGTGGGTCTGTTTGTTTGAAGGTTGGAGCGCTTCTTGTTCCTAGTAGCGTGGCACTTGTTACTACTAGTAAGGCACTTGTTCCTAGTAGCTTCTTGTTCCTAGTAGTAGGGCCAGGAGCCCCTAGTAGCGTCCTTGCTCCTAGTAGCGATGCCCTTTGCTACTAGTAGCGAACATTGTTCCTAGGTTGGAGGCACAGTGACAGTTGGCAAACCTTTGCGGTTTCGCGGGGTGGCTCGTAGAAGAGATTCACAGAACTAGCAACACGAAGGAAAAGGTGCCGGTCTGCCATGCTCCTTGCAACTAACTGATGTCTTTTCCAGTAAATTTGTTGAAAAGACGTCCCTGCTGCCACTTTACACCAGACAGGTTCCTTTGAACCATTGCTGCGTGCTAGCTAGAGGTACATCATTGGCCGACAAGAAGGCAATGGCTGGTGGCCTTCCTCTCAAGACATATCAAGTGACAACAGTGACAAAACACTGAACTTGCAAGTAATTTGGAAGTTTCCAAGGCCATCGCTAGTAGGTTGGAAGCCATCACTCTTAGGTTGGAGGCCATCGCTCTTAGGTTCTGAAGTTTCCAGGTGCTCGCTGTTAGCTTTTCTTAGCACTAAGGCGAAGTTTCGATATTTTCGTTGGCGCCGTTTGCTTGGCTGTGGCCACTGCAGGAATGGTCAGCCTGGCAGCACAAATGTTATCAAATAATATAGTGATTGAAAATGCTACTAGGGGCTCCTGGCCTTACTACTAGGAGCAAAGGGCATCGCTACTAGGAGCAAGGACGCTATTAGGGCTCCTGGCATCGCTACTAGGAGCAAGGACGCTACTAGGGATGGCCTCCAACAGCTTTTGGAGCCTTTTGCATCTTGTGTGGATGCTCAGGTCTTTGCCCGGCGTCTTAGCAGCCTTCCACCACAGCTATCAGAGTCCTTGGGGTTTGGCTCCACAGATCTCCAGAGTGGTTACTAATAGCTTCTTGTTACTAGTAGGGTCCTTGCTCCTAGTAGTACGGCTAGGAGCCCCTAGTAGCGTTCTTGCTCCTAATCCGTTTTGGGCATCGCCTCGCCAAGGCGGGAGATGCATTCAGCCTCGACCCAGTCGACCGAGCAAATGGCTTCATGAAGTGAGACAAGAGACATCAAGACAAGTGAAGACAAAGTTGCATCAGGGAAGCCTTTGTTACTAGCAGCTTCTTGTTCCTAGTAGTAATGCCAGGAGCTACCTAGCGATGCACCTGCGTTGCGTTGTTTAAGTCAGTCAGAATCGATGCAAGAGGCAATTGTGGCAACATACAATTGTGGCAAGAATTGTAGAAAGAGAGAACGCTGCACCAACAAGTCAAAGAAAGTGCTGCGGGTTCCAACGTTTTGCGCCAGCGTGCTTTCTCCCCTAACACGGTGACATGACGCGTCTCAACGAGCGGCATCAGTTGTTACTAGTAGCTTCTTGTTCCTAGTAGCGAGGCACCTGTTACTACTAGCGATGCCCTTTGCTACTGGTAGCTTCTTGTTACTACTAGTAAGGCACTTGCTACTAGTAGCGTGGCACTTGTTACTAGTCGCTTCTTGTTCCTAGCCGCAATGCCAGGAGCTACTAGTAGCTTCTAGCTCCTAGTAGTAATGCCCTTGTTACTAGTAGCGTTTTTGTTGAGTGCTGATATTCTATTTGGGACGATTTGGAAGAAGGTTAGGCAGGTCCTTGCAAATGTCCTAGCTATTCTACCCCACCTGTGCTGCGCCAGGCGCACTGGCCTGAGACCTAAGAATATATCATGTCCCTCTCATTGAGAAGTGCAAAGGATAGCTTAGTAGGAACGAAGCCTCGCAGTGTTGGATGCCATGGTTACTAGTAGCTTCTGGCTACTAGTAGTAATGGTCTCCAACCTACTAGCGATGGCCTCCATCCTAGTAGCTTCTAGCTGCATGTGCCAAGGTCCTTGGGGGTGGAACAGAAATAGCATTTGAGGATCCGGCGGAAGGAAAGTATTCATCGACTCGCGCCTATACGCCTTACTTGTCGCTTCTCTGACGGTGCACAATGACTCGTGAATCGAAACTGGTCATAATCTAAAAGGCAAAGGGAAACTCGCCCTAAAGGAAGTGCTGTTTAAGTGGCATTTGTCGGGCATCCAAGGCAATGACTGGATCAAAACCTGAGAACGTCCTCCTCAGCATTGTAGGGCCTTGCTTCTAAAGCTTTTGCCCATGTTCTCGAGGGCCTCGTCGCTTCTCCCGAAGATCACGTTGAGCGAAGAACACGAACTTGATCACGGTGATCAAATTGTCCTGCTTGGGTTTTTGGGCCTGGGCTCTCCGAATGCCAAGGAAAAAGGAAATGTTTCCGTGTTTTCCAAAACCTACTATCGATGGCCTCCAACCTAACAGCGATGGCCTTCAACCTAATAGCGATGGCTTCCAACCTAGTAGCGATGGCCTCCTGTACCACTTTGCATTTGTACCGCATACCCGTACCACGTACCAACCATACGTAGTAGCCACTCGTACCTCTACGTGGTGGATATCTTGAGCTAAGTGTTGATTGGCTTCATTGAAAAGCTTTGCCGGAATGAACCAGACGCTACTAGTAACGAGAGCATTACTACTACTAGTAGCAAGGAAGCTACTAGGGGCTCCTGGCCGTACTACTAGGAACAAGAAGCTACTAGTAACAAGTGCTTTTGGCGATTCGGCGATTCTGGTCTTCAGCGATTCTCAAGTGCGACCGACACGGACAATTCCCGTCCACGCCATGACGACCCCGAAGTCCTCGAAGAGTGAGATGCCGAACAGCGTCCGAGTGGATTGGAATGACGCTTTGCCAATTAAGATGCAACTAGGAACAAGTGCCTTACTAGTAGAAACAAGGGCATCGCTACTAGGAACACGTGCCTTACTAGTAGTAACCATGTTTACTATTATTAGGAAACAATATATAACAATGGACGCCTTCGCGAGGACGTGGGCCTGGTGGCAACAATGAAAGGTGTGGAGGCGGCTCCAGCTGTTTCACTCCGAACAGTTTTACTCCAACGGTCTAGGAGCAAGAGGACGCTACTAGGGGCTCCTGGCCTTACTACTAGGAGCAAGAAGCTACTAGGAACAAGTGCATCGCTTCTAGGAACAAGTGCCTTACTAGTAGTATCAAGAAGCTAGTAGTAACAAGTGCCACGCTAGTAGTAACAGGAAGCTTCCAAAGTTTCCTCAGGACAAACACATTTTGAGGAAAGTGAGCGGCTTTGCGGTGCCTGGTGAGCTGTTGGCGATCATGGGCCCATCGGGCGTGCCATGACGGCAAGGGCCACATGCTCGGGCGTAGCTAGAAGATGGAGGCCATTGCTAGTAGCAAGAAGCTACTGGTAACAAGTGCCACGCTAGTAGTAACAGGTGCCTTACTAGTAGTAACAAGAAGCTAGTAGTAACAAGTGCC